AAGCAAGCTGCTCAGTTTCACTGATAATCTGCATTTGGTATGCCTCATTTGGTATGGCAGCAAATGAATAATTACATGCTAGTACTAACCACTGAAACAAATCTGGAATATGCAGTTGACCATGTATGTGACTAAATACTAATTGTTGTCTCAAAAGACACATTCTTAGTTGCATTCCTCGATACCACCTTCTCTTGTGATAGCAAAGACACATTTTTTGTCAAAATTCTGATACAATCTCGTGACGGACACACTGCTGATAAGCACCTGCAATACCGCGTACATTCTTGCATATCGATCTTGTACTGCATTTATTCTTACATATGGCAAATATTGAAACAGGCACTCCACTTTGGCGAAATGGGCCACCACATAAGCCAGTGCTCTGCAATGCATGTGGCTCGAGATGGAGAACAAAGGGTTCATTGGAGAATTACACACCAATGCATTCTCGTGATGATATCGATGCTGATCAACCTAGAGTTAGCAAGCTGAAGCCGCCGACATTGAGGCTAAAGGAACAGCGGCAGCTAAAGAAAAAGCCAAGCCACAGCATAAGGGAGAATGGAGCATTTTCTGATCAGAACTTCTGGAAGATGGGGGATGCCGACCCAAGTCGATCTAGTTCTGGATCAGCACTATCATATTCAGAGAGTTGTGCTCCATATGGTTCTGCTGATGCTAGTGAAATGGGTCAGTAATCTCTAATTTCCTAATGTGTTGCTGCTAAATAAGAATTTTTTTATGTTCTTCAGAGTCTTGTTGAGTGCCATGGGTTATATGACTATGTTCAATTGAAATAATTAACGTAGAAACATGGAACTTGAAGCTTGAGATGGATGGTCAGAAATACACACTTAAATGTTGGTCTGCAATGTTATGTCTAATCTCCGTAAGACTTGTTGTAAACATCTATAGGTAGTTCTTGTAGTACTACCCTTGCATGAGTCTGTGCTAGTAACTGTGTATAATGCAGAGCAGGTACTTGTTTTCATCAAACTTACTGAAAGTACTGAAACATACTTCAGCAACCCCACTTCACTGGTGCTTACTTTGTAATCCTGCATCATCATTTCTCAAGAACTTTGATAATTGTCCATATATTGTATTCAAATGACGACCCTAAAATTAATGCTTCAAACATCAGTTATTGTATCAGTGTCTTCCTTTACCACACATGAACTCGATTAAATACGATAATCAACATAAAAAAAGCTATAATACTTCATGATACCGTAAGCTCAATTTACATTACCAAGATTTATATTTGTAACTCATAATTGCTTTCTTTCTTGTTTTTTGTGTAACTAAAGTTAGTTATGTTAATGATGGTTCTCTGATCTTTTGAATTCAGGTTCAGCGCAATCGCATGCTTGGGAGTCATTGGTACCATCAAAAAAGAGAAGCTGTGTCACTCGGACCAAGTCTTCGTCCGTGGATATGCTTGTCAAAGATCTTCATTGTATAATGCACGAAGAGCAGTTATCTTACCTTTCTGGATCCTCGGAGGAAGATCTAATTTACCACAGTGCAACTCCTGTGGGTTCCTTTGAGATTGGCTATGGAAGTATGCTTCTGAGAAGTTCAAACTCAAAATCAGTGGAGGAAGATTCAGAAGCAAACTCTGTTCCTGCAGATAATAAATCATACCTTACAAGTGAATCCTATTCAGGGACTGCCTCGTTTGTTGTGCATAGTGAAAGCAAGGGGGCAAGTAATTCAAATGCTTCGCCTGAGAAGCCAAAGTGGTTTCCGGTGCAGACACACGAAATTGCTAAAAGGTATTCTACACCTCTATTAGTAGTATTGTGCATTGGTTTCCTATACAGATACTACATGATAATGCTATCTACAGTTCTGCATTCTATTAGTCAGAGAAGCTATTGTGGTGAAAATCAAGAAGCTAAGGTTTTTTTTATACCTCTTTTGCAGGGGTAAACTTCATTACTCAAAGCAGCATACCCTGGAAAATGTAGGTTCAACTTTAGTTTCAGTAGCTTTAGAGGTATCAAGTCTATGATGATCTCATTGCCCCCTCCTTCTGTCCATTTTTCCTCAGCCAATTCTGCCTTGGTGCTTTCTCTTCACTGTATACACCATTATGAATTTCCAACCTTTGTTGTGTACATGATTAATTGTTTGTTTCTCTTATTTTAGGGAGAAGGCACCAAGGAAACAGGAGGAAATGAAAATACCAGTGCTTTGAAAGACCTTACCAAATCCACCATGAAGCCTCTCAAAAGGCCTCATGAAAGCCAGTTGCAAAGCTGCCCAGGTCAGCAATCTTAGTTCCTCTGATTCCTACTTGCACATTGTTTTTAGTTGTGAGCATCTGAAAAATGTCCTCTGTATTCAATTCACACTTCATCATTTCCTTAATTTATTGGGAATAACAGGGAGAAGCTTTCTGATTTGTTTTTGCTTGTGAACATGCAGAAGGAACCATGAGGATTGCCAAAAAAGTTTGCAAATCTGTGGCTATGGCTCCTCAGTTCAAAAGTTCATTTTTGCCCAAATCTGGAGGAGCACCATTTAACTTACTCATGTTACCCCCAGATAAAATATCCATGCTGGCCCCTCCGCAGTACATGGATAATTCTGATCAAGACTTGCTGCTGGAGGTTCCTCTCAATGCGCGGCAACCAGAGGCAGAACTTCTTTGCCAACCATTTCAACTTAGCTCAGTAACCCGCAGCTCCACCTCAGCGGACGTGGTTGCTGATGGCGAGGGGCACCTCAAGCAACCGTAGACTAGAGACCAACTTAGGAACAGGCGGTAGCGGTAGTTTCCCTTAGTTTCCTGGATCATCATGGTACCTTTATTTACCGATCACCGGTAGGGCTTTCTGCGGTTTGTTCATGCTTGTGCCGTCGTTATCGCCCCGATTTACATTGACAATGTGCGTCTGCCACGGAGGCAAAATTGCCCGTTCAGCTAACATTTGTAGCGGTGCTTTTGGACTAGGCTTGTGTTGGTTTCCATGGCATGTGGGCTTTTGGAGAAAGTATAACTCATATCACCATGGAAAATAGAACTCTTTTATGGGGGAATTGGAAAATGGAAATGGATATGAGAGATTTCAACAAGTTGCTTATCTCGGCTCACTTATTTTTCTAGTTGAGCATGTTGGTGTCTCCATAACAGGCCCTCTTTTAGGGAATGGCAGGTCATCTTGATCTCAGATGGTATGCCTGTCTGAATGATTGATGATATCATTGATAAATGATATGTACAGTACAGGTGTACATTATCTCTAGGTGACATGTACAGGTGTACATGATCTTCAGGTGACCTATATGATATCAACTCTACTTAAATCACAAAGCTCCGACGAAATTTGTTTTAATTTGACCCGTTCGTTAGTTCAATCGTTTGCGCTAATTTCTTTTCTGTTCTGATCTAATATACATTTGTGCTTCTCTTGTTAGTGCTATTCAAAAGCACCATGGAGAGTAAGAGTAGTAACTGAAGAATGCACCAGTCATATTGTATTAAGATGATTAAGACTGGTCGAATGAATTATAAACATGTTCCCCTGAAAAAAGAATTACATGTTGCAACAAAACTCACCAATGAGGCTGCACACGCATTTTACCGATCGGGTAGCTGTTGGAATTTGGTAGAAAATGCAGTAAACCATAAGATAAAACCTGATAACAAGACAAGAAGAGAAATCCAAAGTGGAAGCTATAATAGCAAGCGAGCCACTCCTTGCTGAAGCATACACTTATGCAGGAAAAAGTAATCATGCGCTTGCACTTGCAATGTCAGATGGCCGGATGCTAATGTTTCATTGAACTTTCAAATGAGCTGTCTTCCCCAATGGCACAACCTGAGGTTTGTAGAACTGGCCTTGGACATTCCAGGGAGAAAACCACGATCCGGCAGTGAATCGATTTCACTGAAAACCTTTAGTATTTCGACTTGCTGTTCGTAGTATTAGTATTCAGCGACAACATCCTCAGGGCCTTGGCAACATCAGCTGTGATCTTCGTCACATTGCCTACCACCAGGCGCCGTTGTCACCATCAAACCTCCTCCTGACTTCTAAAATTTTTGAACACCACAATTCATAATACAGTTATATATGTTGGAATTATGAAAATCAGAGCAACTTGTTGTTTCTTCCACCCGTGTCTGCCACATCATGTCCGACCCACCTTTCTCCTTCCACTCTTGTCCATCTTTCATTGTTGCAGCTGTTTTCTTAGTCTCAATTTACAGTTGTTTGATACATCTGTGCTTACCTACAATGTTTCTTTACTGATATTAGTAAGATGATGATTTTGTTACATCTTTAAACGATGAAGAAAATAACCGGCGCGTAACCGTTAGCAGGACCCTCTTGACTGGAGGTTAACCTTTGCGGGCGGTCCGTTGCTGCTTCCATGGCCTCGCCGGTCAGCCCCCTTTTTTCACCTTCCTTCCGCCGCTCTCGCTCCTTTCTGATTGAATGCCTTTCGGTCAATTCACAAGATATTTAATTCTCGTTAGAGGTCAGTACTGTACTAGTATATGTTTCCAGCTAACCTTTTTCTATAGACGTTTCCAAATACTCCCTCCGTCCCAAAATATTTGTCTTAGATTAGTCTAGATACGGGTATATCTAATACTAAAACGTGACTTGATACATTCGTATTTTGACAAATCTAAGACAAGAATTTTGGGACGGAGGGAGTAACTGCTACCTCTACAAGTTTTTGAAATAAAGAACCAGGTTTGCAGTTTCCCTGATCTTCGAAAAAACCAGGTTTGCAACGGAGCAGATTCAGATAGTTCAGAGAAAGAGCCGGCACACGGACTGTCTAATGGGCCAACCACGGCCCACAAATACAAATCTGCGCGGGAAGATAGAATTCGGCGAGCAGTGGGGCCCGGACCACCCGATCCGCGCGCGTGAATCTCAAAGCGCGAGCCGGAACCCCGCTCCGCTCCATCTTATCCCCTCTCCCCTCTCGCCCTTCCCACCCGCACGCAAAGCTCCACTGCCGGTGCCGCCATGCTGCTCCACCACCTCCTCCCCCCCTCCTCCAGGGCCCCGTTCCGCCCCTCTCCGCGGCGGCCGGGCTGCGGGGCGCTCACGGTCCGCTGCGCGCCCTCCTCGGCCGCGTCGCCGCCGGCGTCGTCGTCGTCGTCGGCAGGGCAGCAGGTGGCGAATGTGCACAGCTACGGGACGGTGGACTTCGAGCGGCGCCCGGCGCTGCGGTGGAGCAGCCTGTACCGGCGCGTGGCGGTGGGCCACGGCGGCCGGCCCGTGGGGCGGACGCTCGCGGACTGGGACGAAGGCGAGCGCCGCCTCGACAAGTGGGAGCTCTGCCGCATCGCCAGGGAGCTCCGCAAGTTCCGCCGGTTCAACCTCGCACTCGAGGTAGCCATTCCTGGTTGCGTCTCTCGGAGATCTAATGAACCCCGACTTTGTTGCTGCTTGAATGCTTGATTAGTGATCGAGCGACTTAGTTTCGTTCGAATTCAGAGGCTAATGTTGGTAACATTAACTGAACATTATGCCTATGCGTATGCCAGCCACAGAAATTCACTAATGATCCGTTGTTTTATGGTTGCTTGCGTAACTATGTTTGCTTCGGTGCTGCAAATTTTATGAAATTTTGTATCTAGTGTGTGCGTCAGATAGTGTTGAAATTCTTGGTGGTAGTTGGAACACTATTTAGACTAAAATTTAGTGTCACTTGAGTGTGCTAGTACATGTTGTGCGACAAATCTAACTGCCAAGGTCGGACTTAAATCGGAATTACTCTGCTTATACTTTGAGCAGATTATCAGCTATATGTTGAGGAATTCATTGCTCAATGGATGATCAAAGAAATATGCAACCACATTGAGATAGGGATGAACATAATTGGACTTGCTCCATTTCAGGCAAGGGTTAATGTGCCAGTTTATCGTGAATTGGAATCTAAACTGGAAAGGTAGCTGCTGTTTATCTGATCTGACATTAATTACTTAGTGCGAGGAACAGTAGTTCAAAATCCCTAAAGACCCTGCACATCGTTTTCAAGGCTCACCTTCGATAGTGATGGTTTATGAAGTGTTTGGACATCCTTTCTTGCTATGGTCTGGGTGCCTTTTGATGGCTAATCCTACTAGTCATATGGTTCTCATCAAGTTTTTTCTCTTGCATGTGCAGGTTTATGATTGGATGACTGATCGAAGGGATAGATTTTCGCTATCATCTAGTGATATGGCAATCCAGTTGGATCTGATTGCAAAAGTACGTGGTGTTCCAGATGCTGAAGAATACTTCGAGAAACTTCCTGACCCACTGAAAGACAAGCGAACGTATGGGTCTCTTCTCAATGTGTATGCCCAAGCTAGGATGAAAGATAAAACAGAATACACATTTGAGCAGATGAGGAAAAAGGGGTTTGCAACTGACACATTACCTTTTAATGTGTTGATGAATTTTTACGTGGATGTTGCAGAGCCTGAGAAAGTGTCTAGAGTTACTGATGAGATGAAGCAAAGAAATGTCGGTTTTGATGTCTGCACTTACAACATTTGGATAAAGTGTTGTGCAGCTATGAAAGATGCTGATGCAATGGAACGAGTCTTGAACCAGATGATTGCTGATGAGTCTGTCGTTGCCAACTGGACTACTTATACCACACTTGCTAGCATGCATATCAAGCTGGAGAACTTTGAGAAGGCAGAAGAATGCCTGAAAGAAGCTGAGAAGCGAGCAACAGGTAGGGATAAAAAATGTTTCCATTTTCTCATCACACTCTATAGCCACCTTCAGAAGAAAGAAGAAGTCTACCGCATTTGGAATTGGTACAAAGCAACTTTCAAGACAATTCATAACCTGGGTTACCAGGAGGTACTGTCTGCCCTTGTTAGGCTAGGAGATATAGAGGGAGCTGAACTTCTATACGAAGAATGGGCATCCAAAAGTTCTAGTTTCGATCCGAAGACTATGAACATTTTATTAGCATGGTATTCTAGAGAAGGTTTTGTTGTGAAGGCTGAGCAAACTCTGAACAGATTTGTTGAGAAAGGTGGGAACCCCAAACCAAATACCTGGGAAATCCTTGCCACGGCGTACCTGAAGGACAATCAGTTTGCTGAATCTCTGTCATGTTTGGAGAAAGCCACTGCAGTTAAAAGTGCAAGTAAATGGAGACCGAGACCAACCAATGTTGAGAGTCTCTTGGCATATTTCAAGGAGAAGAATGACATGGGGAGTGTCGACAGGTTAATGAGTGTACTCAGAAGTAGAGGGTGTGCTGAGAACGAAGAGTACAAGTCATTGATTGACACCTATGCTTTGGCGGTTGCGGGCACGTGATGATGGATGGACACCAACGATACGATATGATTAGTAAATATCCCTTGAACACTTCTTGTAATCTGAATGTCGGAAGAACCCCCGCTTGAGAGTTCATGTGGTACGGCTCTGTACTTTTCATTCCAGAGCGGTTAGGTGCATTCTATAAGTTGTTTCCCTACAGAAAATCGGACAATAAGGTACATAGATGATAGGTCTGCCTTCTTTCTGACCACTTGGTTCAGTTAGAAACTCTGAGATCATGAAGAGGAGGCCGTTTACCAGGTTCCTTGTACTTTCTACATGTACATCGACATTACCATCGAGGAGTTAATCGTGCCTTCTCCATGGAATCGTACATTTTTCAATCACCTTTACTTTTTTTTGGTCTTGTTCACCGCCTTTGTTATAAGCTGCACTGTGTATGTTGCATGTGGGCTTTTGCTTGAGTACCTAGCACTAGCAGGTGGATCAGAGTAGCAGAAGATGCATGACTGGAAATCTCATTATCTCCGCCATTTCTCGTTGTTATCGGGATTGAGGGGGTTACCTTGACGCTTGCACGTTGCCCGTTGCCCCCCTTTTCTACACAGCTTTTAAACTATGAAGTGCTACAGCTCAAGCTGTCCATCTGCATTTGTCGGTTCGATCATCGGCATGTTTATTTCTGATTGGTACATCTGTTGTGCAGATATTGAAGCAATGACAGTTGCGGATGAACAGCCCGGACCACCTGGAGCCCTCCCCTTGCCGGTAGACGACCTCTTTCCTTGAGAAGAGCAGTTATCTGATTGTGGATTTCTCGTAATAATAATACGTGCGGGGTCACTGGAGGGGCTGCAGCTGCAGGAAGGTGGGTGGTTGCATCCAGGATGCAGCACGCACTGACTAAACGAAATTGCTTCACGGACGACAGTTAGCGCACGACCTCCGAACGATACTAACTCCCCAACTGTGCTCCTGCATGCACGCTTGCTTTTCACGCTGCCACGTAAGGATCGTTCAGTCATCGGCCGCACGTTCGTCGTGTGTATAGCAGCGCTGCTGACTAAACTAATGGCCAGATTCGCTCACAGCTAGGTGACGGGCAAAGAGTGAGCTCAAAAGGCGGAAAATAAAGGAGTCCAGCCACAGCCATTGCTCGCTTTACTCAAACGTCACCGACTATTTGTCATCTCCGAAAGAGGTCTTGGTTCAGCTTGCAAGTTGGAGTACAGTTAATTACTGTGATCCCGTCACGGACAACGTGATTAAGACAACCTGCAAGATATACTAAGAATAATCATGGCCGTTTGACCCTCTATAAGCAGACGTGATCGGCACTCCCATCATCCGAGGAGTTTGGGAAGAGAAATGACTGTTCTATGTTTGGGTACGCTTTCAACGCCGTGCTGTAGCAATTCGACACGTCTGTGCCACCCCAAGTAAGCCGAGAGCGAGTTATGGCAGTGGCAGTGCTAGGGACAGCCAAGCGTGCAGCGCAGCCCAGGATGCCTTCTGGATGCCTGGCTGCGCTACTAGTATTAAACTCCACCCAACAACTAATCAACAACCACCCACGCACGCACGCACTGGTAAAGGGAAAAGAGACGTCGAAGAAGCGTGTTTTAGATTTTAGGGATCTGTTAGTTATAATGCCTGTTGGAATTATAGTGTCGTGGGGCAAACGTATTTTAGAATTTAGAGAGCATTACAATTCCTTGTGTCCCATGGCGCGACGAGGACATGCTATGCTTGCTTTGATGTCCATCGTAAGGCATTTTGGAAAATGGGGGATCCTTTTCTGGTAATGTGATGTGATGTTGCATGAAATTCATATTGGGATCATGTGAAGTTACCGTGTTCCACAAAGACCACACACACGAGCTTGGTTCCGTTGTGTAAGCACCGCAAACGCTCTTTGTACTACATAATTTTGTTGTTTGTACCATACTTTTCCTTTCCAAATCCTTTTGCGGTGGCAAGGAGCTACTTGACCCGAAAACATATGACCGCCTCAATAGAGTTGACCTATCTTTTCTCTTCTACTTCTTGCGTTACAACCGAACACTTCGATTGCCGTTTGATCCAGATCACATGATTGTCAGCAGCCCACATGTCCCGATACGCTAGCCCGCGCGTTGCCTCGAGACGTGGGAAAGAAAAATAAAGTGTTGGGAGGGGGCGAACTGACGATCCTAGGTGTATACCGAGCACACCAGCCAACACACCCAACCTTTGTCGTTGCCTAACAAATGAAAGCAAGGTATTTGAACATTCTTTACTTCCATATCAGCCAAAAAGCAAACTCCTCTGGTTTTTTTTCTTGGATTTCTCTAGTGCACCATGTGTGGTGTTTCCGCAAACACTCCAATGGGCGTTGCTATTCATGTGGCAGGGGAAGTTTGGCGTTTCTGTGAGGCACGAGCCTTTGATGGGCGCTACATTTCAAGTGGTGAAGGTGGACTCGTGTCTTCGCGGATGCTTCAACAATTTGTGAGGATGGTGTTAGTGATGAGGTCAATGATGACATGCAACATGCCTTACCGCCTGGGATGATGTGAACCGACATGCGAAGCCATCAACATTGCCTCCTATGGGACATGGGCTGTTGTAGGCTTATCAGCCTCGCATTACATGCACATGTTTGTCTCGTCAGTTGGCAGGCCCCTAGAAGGCCCGCTGGAGCAAAGCTAGTGCTTGCAGGAATCGAAGGTGCTCGGGGTCCAGCCCTGTGCACCCGCTTGGCTCTTGAGTTATCTTCGTTGTTGTTGAAGTAGAGGTCGGGGGCTCGAGCATGCTTGGGGTAATGCGTGATTGCCATGCTTAAGCTGGATGAGAGCATGTTCTTGGGGAGCCCTGACCACCGCCCCTTAGTGCTATCTCTTGGTGCCTTGCTGTTTGCACTTCACGTCGTTGAGTTCGGCGCATTTCAGTAGGCTCGCAGGACCCTATTTCTCGTATTGCTGACAACATGTGTACACCTATTCCTGTGGACAAAGCACGCCAGTCAGCCACATTTTAACGAGAATGGTTTTCGATGTCATTAAATGTATGTGTGTATCTGCCATCGTGGTAATATTATACTCCCTCCGATCCAAGAAAATGTGGCATGGCTTTAGTTCAGCAGTTCAAATTTGAACTAAAGCCATGACACTTTTTTGGATCGGAGGGAGTACTAAAGACGAAGGTAAATGCCAATTTTTTGTCTTTCTCCAGGAGTTATGTATAAGTAATGTTATTTATGAAAATTACTTGGCCACTAATAGGCGCACAGTGCGCCGGCCTAAAATTTCAGCCGGTCCCGCGTGGGCCGCACGATCTAGTTTTGTAAACAGTATGATTCCTTCATCTACCTTACAAAAACGCTACAACAAAAAAAGCAGAGGAGAAAAAAAGTAAGGGGAAAGAGGCCAGCGCCCTGCTCGTCCTCATCTGTCGATGAGCCGCGCTCGCCAACCTCGCCCATTTGCCCCGCCGCGGACGCTCACCGCCTATCCGCGCCGCCGTCGCTCGCAACAAAAAGGTCATTGACCATAGCAGCCTTTTCTCTTGCCTCCATGTTGCATCCATGGTAGCTCCGCGACGCCGACCGCAACACCGTCCCTCGCCGATGTTGCGCACCGCCGGTATGGTCACCACTCCCCGTGTCCTCCATGTCCGTCGAAGCAGCTCATCATCGCCGTCGTCACATGCCCTATGTTCTAGAAAAAACAATCTAAGCAACTAAGAAAAAAGTCGGTTGAAGCAAAAGTTTAGCCGGCTCCAGCAAAACCATGGACCTTCGTCACCGGAACATAGCAAAACTTTTGGCCTCTCGTAGCAAAAATAAAAGACAGTTCCAGCAACTCGCTACCATGGTTGCATCCCCACCTCGCCGGCATGGTGATCCACCAGGTTTGAAGCTTGTCGTTGTGTCGCTTGTAGCTTGCTGGGCACCTGTTGTAGCATTGCCCTTGCCGGTTGCAGCCTCGCCGATGACGGGTGTCTCCGGTTGTAGCTCTGGTGTACACGGCTTGCAGCTCTGGCACACACGGTTGAGGCTTCTATGGTACATGGTTGTAGCAAAAACAATCTTCATCGATCCCCTTCCTTGAGCAAAAAGCTACTGCCGACGAAATAAAATGCTACAACCTATGAATCAAAAAGTTGCTACTGTCGAAAGGGGGATATTTGTGACCGGCGAAATCAAAAGTTCGAACAAGAACGTGAAAAGCTACTACCGGTGGGAAAAAATGTTGGAACCAGCGAATCAAAGATTGGTGCTCATGGATGAAATTGCTACAACTGGCAAAATAAAAAGCTGGAACCGACCAATCAAAAAGCTACAACCGCCTAAAAATAAAAAAACTAATCCATAGAGGAATCATGGCATCTTGGAAAAAAAATGGTGTCACATCCGCATGGTGCGCGAGCGCGGCCGCTTCAAGCTTACATGGGAGGGAGGGCACAAAGCAGCTCGTCATCGTCTCAACGTAGGCTTTGCGGGAGCGGGTGGTGAGGACACCCATCAGCAGGGAGGTAGAGTAGGGAGGGATGGGTGCTTGAAGGCCCCATCCATGGCGGTGTGGCGTTCATGGCGAGGGAAGAGAAAAAGGGGATCGATTGGAGGAGAACGAAGGAGAGAGAGGAAAGAAAACGAGTGGAGGAGGACGTCTGGTCAGAAGATAAGGTCGGGTGAAGAGCGATGTGTGAGCCCAAAATAAGATTGATCTGATGCGTTCAATCCATATGGATCCTACGCGTAGCACACGTCTGGCTGAATGTTCGGCCGGCGTGTCGACTATAAACGTTTTTCAAATTACTTTGCTTTGTCCCATACTTTCTAACTCCCTGTCAGTTATAGCGTAGCAATTGTTCCCATTTTTCTCTATGGAGAAGAATGACCTCTTTTGACACTAAGGACGAGGTAACATGTGCTATCTTCAAGAATGCAGTGTGGCAGTATCGACATTACGTGAAGGAAACATACTTCTTTGGCAAGGACATTCACAAAGTTCCCCAATTTCTCCGGAGAAATATTTACGAAATGATGATTAGGA